GCAGAAAGGGAAAACGAGCACAATCTCAGCTCTGTCTGCGGGCAAACAGAGCACCGGAGAGAGCCAAACGGCGCTGGAAGCGGGGAGATGTCACCTGGTGCCCGCGCTGTCCCTGCCGCGCGCCAGACGGGGACGGCAGAGCCGGCGCCGCTGCGGCTGAGGGGGTGTGTCGGGGGTTGGGTTTTGTGGGAAGAAAGAGGAGCTAGAGCTTGTGTCTTAGGTTGACAGCTCTCTTGGAAAAAAAAAAGGGAAACCGTGAATTAGTGTAAAGCGTAGCGCAGCTGGGGGCCAGGCAGCCAAAAGGTTTCCAGACACCTGAAATTCCTGCGAGGATGTGTTGGTTCTGTTCCGTATTTAGGGAAAATGAGGCTAAGGAAAATTGCTTTGTCAACACCGCCTAACTTCTACAAGCCACGTAAGAAAAGATCCCAGTTGGATGCTACAAGAACTTCAATATCTATAACCAGAAAATCACACAGGACGAGGAAAGCTGCCTGGGGTCACAAAATCTTCCTTTCAGAATTCCTTTTTTTTTTTTTTTTTTTCAAATCAAGCAAGTTCAGCTTCTCCATGTCGAGCTGGGTTCCCATCACAACATCACCGACGAGAGGGACAGAGTTTGGGTAATTTCTGTTCAGGATGCAGGAGATGCAGGAACGCCGCAGACACCTCCCGTCCTGGCTCGGCAGGCACCACGGGCCAGGCACGGCGCGGCGGGGCTGAGCTAGGGCTGAGCAAGAGCAGGCGAGGCAGCACAGAGGATCACTGTGTGGACACCTCCTGGCAAACCGTTATCCGGTCACAGGTGCTTTGTTGTGCTCCGTCCTCTTCCTGCACGTTGCTTATGGACTGACAGCTCTTCTAGGAGAAAGCGAGCAGACATCATGGGCTGAGGGATGATTAGACTAGGACCAAAGAAAGGGAACAAGCACTACAGCACTGACAGCGTCAGGGTACATCTGGCTGAAGGGAGAGGTGGAAGGGGAAACGCCAGCATCCTCCTGAAAGGCGGCACACGGCGTGCTCCGCGGCTCGGCCGGCTCACTGCGGGGCAGAGGGCTCAGCGCAATCACCAAGGTGATGATGTAGCTGCAGGAACTGGCTTAGAAGATGGGTCTCAAACCTCAACAGCCTGGCAGATTACAAAGAGAGAAAACCAGACATCTCCGGAGATGTAGAAGAATGGGAAGAAATTGCTTGCAGGAGTACAAAGGCATCTAATTAGAATGAAGCAGAAGATAATAAGATAGGGAAGAGTTTTGCCAGAGTGTATGAGAGATTAATTCCTGACAGTGAATCTGTTTAGAACCTCTTGGGGAGGGGGGAAGGGGGTGGGTAGCAGGACAGCAGTTGGTTGGAGTGTATAAAGCAAAGTGTTAGAAACCGTGTAACTCGAAGGGAAAATTCCTCTGGAACTACACCTGGTCTGGCAGTTCTTTCCCATCCATACATTTATAAGCTAAGCTTTGTAATTAGAGTCCCAGCCATGATTACACTCCCCCACTGCTGCTTTGCCTTTGGTTCTCGATGTCACTATTGCTGCTTTCTTACAGCAACTGAGCTTTGCAGTCACGGCTGCGATGGCGAATGAATCTGAAAATAATTTGGAGAGTACTGCAGGCAGCGAGGAAGGACCAAACAATGCCAGCTGGGAGCTGTACTTGGAAAGGAAAAACTCTCTTCTGGGGTTCCTGCACTCCCAACTGGACCCCCAGCTCCTCCAGTACCACCAGAGCAAGGTGGAGCATCTGAAGAGGTGTTACTTTTACTTGGAGATTGAGCCCAAGCAGACGCACTTCAGAGACAACAACAATGCGATACAGCTGGTGGAGGTCCTGAGACTAATAGACCCCTGGGAGCTCCAGAAGATGAAGCAGCTGGGAAAAACCCAGACTGAAATCCAGCTGTCCCTTCTGACGGAGCTGCTGGAACAGTTGGAACGAGGTCGGGAGGAGCTGAGCTGCTACGCAGAGACCTGTGAGGCGCCAGCCTTCCTCGCCGGGTGGCACTGGGTCACGCAGAGAGTGTCCGAGCTCCTCAAGTACATGGAAACTCTCGTTTCCGTGGAAGTACCAGGAAAGCTCTATGTCAAACAGCAGCTGGTGTCACACAGCTTCCAGGGAGGTCTGCGACTCCCCAGCATCAGCCTTTCTCTCTCTGTGAAGACGCCACCGATTTTTGATCCTGAGAAATCATCCGCGCAGCAGAACTCAGCCAGGCTCCAGTGGTTCACTGAAAATCAAGAGTCAGACCTCGACCAATACGAGCTGGAATGTGAGTTACTGATACGCGACAGTCGGAGAGAGATGGGATATGGCAGGATTCAGACTGTCACCTCCAACACGTGCGTGGTCCACGGCCTGGAGCCTGGCAGATCGTACAAGTTCAAAATCAGAAGATCCGACACCGGCTTCCTTGTCTACGCGAAATGGTTCGACAGCATCGTACTGACGACAAAACCGATGGCCGTTCAAGTTGTGGACAGGAGCGCTCGTCCACAAGGCTGAGGTGGCATACAAGAATATTGTTCTCATTTTATCCATCTGACAAAGATGAGAAAAATAAAGGCAAACCTTATTTTGAAAAATTCTGCCTGAAACTGAACTCATTCTGTTCTCAACAACAGTATTACAAGCGCCTTCCCCAAATCTTGCCAGGTTAACAGGAACTAACCCATTCCCGATTTCTCCCACAAAATAACATCCCTGGGCAGCACTCGGGACGCAGCACTCCCCGAACTCCCCGAACTCCCAGGCGGGCGCTGCTGGAAGCAGGAGACAGACCCAGCTCCATCATTCAGTGCTTCCCACCCGTGAAAGGTGCCCACTGCCAGCTTCTTGCTATCATTGTGTTTTGTTTTTATTTTTTTTTTTTTACCACGTTATTTTTTTTCTCCTCCCTCCAAAACACCTGACCTGAATCCCAAGCTCTTCAAGTCACTCACCCACCTTATCTCCATCTCTGGTTCCTCTACAGCCCGGTGCCTTCCGCTTACCCAAGCGTGATTTCATCCTCACCCCTCTACAGCGCGTGAAAAGATCACTCCACTAAAAACCAACCAAACCAACCCCCCAGCAAACAGGGAAGGGGAATACAGGACCAACATGCAGAAAACGATCTCTCCTGCCATGTCTTGCATTAATGCTCATTTTCCTTTTTACCGCTTGGTTCCATCCCAATTCCGCTGTCCCCACACAGACTGTAGTCAAAGCATCACACAAACAGACTTCTCAGTAATAAAATTTATTATTTAAATAAATTCAAATCATTTTTACAATTATGGCTTAAATATCAAAAAAAGGAATGTTGAGGTTCATTCTTATAAACAGTAGAAGCAGGTAAAAATATTTGTATCCAAAACATCATTTGAGGTTTGCTGCAAGTCACAGACATAGAAAAGATAAAACCCTGCCACGCTCCACGCGCCTTAATTTACACCTCCTGACACTTAACATTTCATTCCTATTAAAAAACCCCAACACTTTATTGCAGTAAATTGATTGTCCTACACACATCTATCCCGATCCTCAAAACCAGCCCAGTGGGTTTCTCCTTTCCCGGCCGGTGCCCAGGGAGGTTTCCCAGTCCCGATGTCGGTAACGTCGCGGCCGGTCCCAGCGGGACGCAGGGGGACGCTGCAGCCGCCCGGCACACCGCCTGCGCAGCCTCCCCCCGGTCAGCTGGGCTCCAGCTCTGGCCAGCGGCGAGGAAACGAAGTTATCCTGTTAAACGAACCGACATTTGTGTCCTGTGACAACGCTCCTCTGTCTGTGAGCTGCAGAAACCAGAGCCTGGCGGCGGACAGATGCCCTGGGCACCACGCTGCCGGCGGGTTCCGCTGGGACTACCAAAGGTTTGGTTTGGTCGTTTTGGTTTGTTAGAAGTATTTTACGAATATGTGCTTGAACATAAAATTCTTTCAAAAGTCAATTCAAAGCTCTGTCTGCAAACGAAACTGGACTGCTTTGAACTTTTTTTTCTCTGTTAATTTCTACAATTCTCTCTATCCAGGAGCCTAAGGACAAGACCACGATATCCAGCTGTCGCTAACAGTCTATAAAAAGTTTGACTAATTGCACTTTCTGCTATCCCTGACTATTGCAGCTGCCTGACCAGCTCTGCAGGTACCTGCTCCCAGCCCAGGAGCCCAGCCTGGCCGGTACTGCTGCCTGCCTGCTCCAGGGCAGCGTTTCCCAAACAAATGCATCTTCAGAGGAAAAAAAAAATTAAAAAAAAAATATATATGTTGTCTTGCAACACAGAGGTGACCAAGCAAAGCATTTCAGTCTAGCCTTTACCCTCCAAGGAGCAGCAGTAAACTTTTTTCCCCTGCTGAGGGCAAAGGGAGATGCTTTGCGAGGTCCCTTCCTCGGTCTGTACAGACACACGGCCAGACCCCACACGGGAGCATCGGACTGAGCCCCGACACTGGGGTGAGCCTCCTCCTTTGTGGCACATGCAGTGAAATAACAGGAAAAAACAGGAGAGAGACCCCTCACTTACAACAGAACATGAAAATGAGATCTGCTGGTTCTAAAGGGACCGAGACAACAGTTAGGATGATGCTGGCACCATGCTGAGGGCTTATCCCGATTCCAGCATCTCTGGCAATCCTCCACATCACCTTGGAGACACGCGATTGCATTTCATTGCTTCACAAAATGATTCCTAGACAAGTTTATTTTGGAATTGCAAGGATATTTGCAAAAAGTCAGGCTGGCACAGAAGCTGTAAGATCCCAGCCGGGATGATTTCCAAGAGCAACAATGAACTTTACATCTTACCAGCTTCTCTCAAGCATCTCTAGAACCAGCCGGAGGTACTTCCTCCAGGCTTTCATCCCCTATGGGATCACCAGCCATGTGCCCGTTCTTACGCTTCAGCAAGACAAGAGCAAGCCTGGGTGGTCTCTGCAAACCAAACCCACCAAACGCAGAAGTGCAGGAAGGTAGTTTAAAATAAGGAAAAAACCCCACATTTTCTCCATAGGGTCTTGAGTCAAGTCTAACACAGAGTCATGAGAAGAAACCCAGCGTTAACTAAGGACTTTCCAGAAATTGCACATTCCTTCACACCGGGAAGAGCCCCGCTGCATTTTCAGTTGCAAACACAGGACAAAATTCATCCCTGCCATAGCACGGCGAGGTCCCGGGGACCCCTCCCTCACGCCAAGGAGGACGTGTGTCCCAGCACAGTATCGGTGCAAAACCCCCGCGATTGCATCTGGGCTCCATCCCAGGCGAACATCTAGAGACAGCCAAGCGCGTGCTCCTGGGGAGGGCTGAGGCAGGCACTTCATACATTCAGAATTGAAATGAGATAAAAGACACCCTCCCTCCAAACTGTCAGGCTTCAAAAAGCAGCTCCGCGATTCAGCTGAGAGCTCCGCTTCGCCGCTATCCGTCCCTGTCAGCCGCACGTTCCCGGGCGAGAGCAGCCTTCTCGGGGGAACCACGGCTTCCAGCTCACAGCAGTTTGGCTACTCAACGTAAAAAAATACATTATACACAGATATGCTGGCGTACGTTTGTCAAATTTCCATCACCGCTCTTAAAAACTCAGGCTGTAAGACTGTGAAACAAATTCACAGAGTTAAAAGTTAATAAATTAGCAGCAGCTTTAAAAAAATACGGGGTAGGAAAGATGGGGGGCAGGGGGGGGTGTCTTCCAGGAGGAGATTTCAAATAAAACTCAGAACAGTTTAAAATCCGCTTACAAATCCCAACATTTCCTGGTAGGAGCGGTCCTCGCCTTTCATTAACGTTATGCTGGTGAGGACAACCTCCTTTGTACAAAGAAAAAGCAAATCTATTTACAAAATCAGCTTGGCCTTGGCTCCGTGCTATTTACACACCGAGAGAAGAGCGCTTTGGCCAAAGAGCGGTGCCTGGTTCTCTCTTGGCTTTCTTCACTTAAAAAACCCAACACGACAACAACAGCAAAAAAAAAAACCCAAAAAACAAAACCCACAAAACAAAAATTGGTTTTCTGCTTTGAGAAATGAGAAGCCTTAAAAATCCCCTGGCCTTGGTTTTAAAACGAGTGGTGGCACTCAGCAGCTTTGGTCCCCAGTGGCAAGGCGCAGCT